TTGCTGTGAGCTAGGATGACACCACGGCACTCTAGCCCAGGCAACACAGTGAGACTCTGTCTCAAATAAATAAATAAATAAATAAAAATAAAATGGGGGATGATGATGCTGATCTTCGCAGGTTGCTGTGAAGATAAGATAATGAGAAGACACTTTGTGTACTGTTCAGTGGGCTCTAGAGTGAGGTCTCAAGTATCCTTGTTGTTCCCCCAAACAGCTGGAGGCAAATGCAGACATCCTGGTGGACTCTCACCACGCTGACTCCTACCCACTGCCATCACCTATGATTGATGTTAACCACAGGGGACCTTCGCTTTCCCCCTCCCCAGGCCGCAGGGAGAAATAGGGAGAGAGTTGGCCCAAACAGGAGTGAGGAATACACACGGCCCTCATTCTGGGAACACAGGCCTAGTGCCATTAAATCCACTAGGACTCAAACCATCATGGCCTCTCTCCCATACAACCACAGGAACCAAGAAACCCTCAAAGTCCAGAGGCTGGTGATATCATTCATTCATTCCCTCACTCATCAAATACTGCGATCCTGCTATGCGTAAAGCAGTATGGGAACTGGGCTGGTCTATGCAAATCAGAAGAAATGTTTCTACAGCAGGAAAAAAGGGAAGGATGGGAAGGAGCTGTGGGTTTTATCTGCATTTGCCTCCTCTACAAGGCGTGTTTTTTTCTCAAGCTTAGGGGAAGGAGCGGAAAGCCTGTTTCTTAAAATAGTCTTCCAAGACCCAAAGCCCCAGGTCCTGCCTATTCTGAGTTAATTTCTGACATCACATCTTCTCTAGGCGGCTGGGTGTCATGTCCTTAGCTAGCCACAAAGAGGGAGCTGGGGAAGGTCCTTTGACATTCAGCTCCTTCCTTTAATAGCATTCTTCACCTGGCTCGGAGTCCGCTTTCAAAGCACCTTACACAGGCCCTCATTCAATTATGCTATTAATAACAGCAATAACATTAATGAAGGCTGCCCTTTAGCCAGCACCCGCTATGAGCCAGGCATTTGATATCCTTAATCTTGTGTAAGCCTTGTAATAACTCTGCAAGGCAGTTTTTGTCAATCTCATTTCTGGATGAAGAAACCAAGACCAGAGAGAGAAAATAACATGCCCAAGGTCACAGAGACAGAAAGTGACAGAGCCAGGATTAGAACCCACACCTCTGCTATGTTCCAAGCAACCATTCCACGCCTTAGCCTCAAAACCATGCTACCTCTCTGCAGGCAATAAGGATGCTCTATGAGGTCACTGGAAGAATCCTAATTCCTGTTTTCCCTAATGCAGGCGTCTATCTTGGTACTCAGTGTCACTTTGAACCTGGGCTCCCCCAGACTCTATTATAAATGGAAAGAAGAATCCCTCAGTAGCTAGTCAACAATAACAACAGCAATAATAATAACTAATACTGATAGAGCCCTTGCCCCGGGCCATGCACTGGGCCAACCTTTATAAAAACCTCCCTATCTCATTTACTCTCCCAAACACCCTGATTATTCCTATTTTGCAGGTAAAGAAAACGGTTTAATGAGATTACGTTAAGCAATTCACTGAAGTTCAAAAAAAATGGACCTTGGGAAGACATGTAAAATATACTTCCCCAGGGGTATATTTTGCCCTAAGCAGATCCTATCTGAAAGTTCCTGTATTCAGAACCCTATTTTCCTGCCCTTGGTCCCAACCCTGTCTCTCTAAGCACAGAAATCTCAGTGCAGAGAGAAGGGAAGGAAAGACAAATTCCTCTCTGTCACAGGAGACTAGAGGCTCTGACACAAAAGTCTCAGCCTGGGTTTGTTGTTCTTGCTATTGTTGTTCAAGCAGATGCCTTAGAGGTGTCAGCAGGAAGCCCAAACTGAATGTGCTGGGCTTTAAAGAAAAGCCTGCCTCTAGGAGAAGCAAGAGCTTCCAAAGGGAGGTAGTAAATATTTGATGGGACCTTCAGCTCCTCTTGACTCAGGTGACCCTGGTGACATTTCAGAACACTGGGCTGGAGAATATTCTTTATTTAATGACTCGGAAATTAGAAGGAAGAACAAAACTGTGTAGTTGAAATGCTCTGAGCTCGGAAAGGGTCCATGTTGGCAAATTCTGCAAGACAGGAAAAAAAGGGCTCTTTCTCGAGGAGCCGAGTCACCAGCAAACTGAATAACCAGAAAGTATATGATTCTGGGCCAATGACCTACCCTTCCTGATAGATTGTAAGCTCCCAAATGGCCAGAACCCTGGCTATCTTGTTCACTGTTGTCTCCCTGGTGTTTAGCAAATGTCTGGGCAAAGTAGGTGCTCAAGAAATCTTTGATAAATGAATAAATGGGTATCACCCATTCAACAACACAGCATTCCTGTGGCAACCCAGCCCCGATCCATAGACCACTCCTGCCCTTATAGCCTACGCCCCCTCACTAACATATAAACCACCGCGGTGAACTTGACACGTCGCCTCTAACTCTCACAGCTCCTTCATCCAAATCTCTACTCTGGAGAACTGTTTCCAGCTAACTCTGCTAACAAGGGCTCCCTGCAGGAGCAAAGCCACACACTGCTGCCCTATCGCCCCACGCAGCAGCCCCATGCAACCCAATTCCATGTGCGGCTTTCATGTCAGACCTCCACCGGCAGCAGCCACTGCAGAGTAGTATTTTGAAAAGAAATGTGCAGATGTGAAGCAAAATACTCATGGCCTCCTTGGAATTCGGCTCCGGCATGGCAAGCCAGGAGCTTAAAACGGCATCGTTACGCTAGATCCTAGCACAGAAAGGCTCAGGCCATCGACTTCTTTCATAAACCATGCAAACCCTCTGATCAGACCTCTGCATGACACCCCTGCTTGGCTGCCGCAGAACTGTCTCAACACTGTGCCAGTGAGTTTGACTTGATCACAGGCTCAGAACTAGAGGAAACCCTGGCTTTGCCCTGGAGTTCATAAGTTCCTTTCTTCCAGCCTCTCTCCCCAGAAACACAACCTCAAACTGTAGACCTGGCCTAGGACTAAAGAGCTGTTTTTAAAGGGCAGATGCCCAAGCTGCCTGGGACTCTTCAGGGAAGGGTCTGGGGGAAAAAAAGGAGCCACCGGTGACCTCTTAGTGGCCTTTCTGATCCTAGAATGCACACCCATCGAGGCCAGGGTTCTTTGGGTGTTTATTCCACGTCCTATAACTCAACAACTGCCCAACTGCCCAGTGGCATCTCCTGAGTGACAACTGCCTTAAAACACTCGAAAGTTCCAGTTTGAGCCACAGCTCTGTGCAGCCCATCCATTCCCACCCAGACGCCGCGTCTCTTCCCTCATATTTTTGAATCTCCTAACTTTTCCCAGGCCTCTGGGGACACACTTTTCCCAGGCCTTTGCTCCATAGGGGCAATGGCTAGGGCCCCTCATCCCCCTGCAAGTCTGTGTGCTCTGAGTCCCCTCTCTTGATCTCCAGACTCCAAACCCCTTGTTCTGTTGGGCTGCTCCCTGGCGGTCCTGGCCAGAGGCCAGAGGAGTGGGTTTGGCGCCACCTGCTTCGAGCATCCCTTTTCGACCCCCGCAAGTCTCCGGGAGGCTTGTGGAGGTCGCTCCCTTCCAGGACTGGCCGGTTCCAGCAGGTGCGAGGGTGGCTAGGCGTGGGGCCTCGTCCCGAAGAGGCCCGGAGCGTGGACAGCGCACGGGGTGCTGAATCAGGCACGGGGGAGGAGTGGTGCCGGCAAGGGCGCCGGGCTGGGGGAGGACGAGGTGAGCCGCGGCGTGACCCGCAGGGGGCCGCCGGCAGCAGCAGGAGGGCTGGCTGTGGACGCACAGCCCGCTCGGCAGGGTCCCGAGCGCCTTTCCCGGGAGCGCGAGCGGGAGGCGCGGCCCTTACCTGGCCGAAGGCGGAGCTGAGCATGGGGCGCAGCCGGTGGAGGAACGGGTCCGCCTCGGACGCGGCGGCTGGAGCGGAGTCCCCACGACCCCGGGCTCGCAGAGAGCCCCGGAGGCCGAGCGCCGGGGACAGACCCCGTTCCTCCCCATCCCGCCCGCGGGCGGGCGGCAGCGGCGACGGCGGCGAAGGTCGGGACACCGCGGCCGGCAGCGCCTCCCGGGGCCTGCAGTGCGCCTGGGGGAGCCCGCGGCGGCTCCCCCGCGCGCCCTCCTCCCGCGGCGCCGGCCGGCACAGGGGCCTCCGCGAACTGGGGTCCCCGGACGACGGCGGCGTGCTCGGGCAGGTGCCGAGCAGCCGGCGGCTGGGCAGCCCCGGCTCCCGGGCAGGGCCGTGGCGGGGAGCCCGGCTGCCCCCGCCCGCCGCCGCCGCCGCCGCCTTCAGCAGCGACGTCTTGGACTCGCTTTTGGCGATGTGCGAGCTCATCGCGGCGGGGCCCGCGCTCGCATGGCCCGGCGGGGGCGGCACGGTGCGGCGCGGCGCGGGGCCCCCGGCGGGCAGAGAGCTGGGCACCCGGCGGGAGCCAAGCCCGAGGACGCGCTGGAGGCGGGCGCCGTCCCCCGGCCGCTTAAATGCGGCCCCGTCGCCGCCGCCCATGTGACAGCGCAGCCTCTACGCCCGGAGCCCCGAGCTCCCGGCGGCTGGTGGTGCAGATCTGGGGGGGCTGCCGGCTGTCCCCCGAGAGCCCACCCCCGGCTCCCGGGCGGCCCAGGTACCGCTGCGCCCCGCCCCTTGCCCCGCCCCGCCCTCGGGGAGCCCCGCTTCCGGGCGGCCCCTGGCGGCGAAGCGGGCGCTGCGGCGCAGAGCCCGAGCGCGAGGGAAGGGGTTTGGAGATGCGCCCCAAAGAGGGCGAGACCCTGGGAGGGCCCGCAGCGCCCCCGATCATACCTGGAGGCCCCCACAGTGCCCTGGAACCGCCCGAACCTCCAGAAATGCAAGCAGGGTGCCCTTCCCAGGGGGTACAACTTTGGCAATGAGGAGGAGAGAGGTACAGGGAGAACTAGAAACCCGAGCTGCACCAAAGCACTTTATGACACGACGTGCAAACGCAGCAGCCAGAATGGCGTGGAAGGACACTGCTGCAAGGAAAGGCTTCACTCTGTGTGGGCTTCATCCACGGCCAGTACCATGCAATGGTGAGATTAGCATGACCCTGGTAGATTAGCCACGGGATTTCAGTTCTCAGAAGAGAAGCCAAGTGGCATCTGTATTGCCTGGACTGGGCAGCGCCTGGTGATGATCAAGTCTCAGGTAGGAGCCATTTGCTGCCCCTCTAGCTCTTATGCCCCCTCATCCTCATGCCCTGCTAGATGCTACAGAAATTCCCGCTCTTGGTAGGGAGCCAGGGAGTCGCACAGGCCTGCTTTGAATCTCAAATCCCAGCTCTGCCACTTGCCATCTGGTTAACTTGGGTAAGTGTCATCAATCTCTCTGAGCCTTGTTCTCCTTTTCTGTACAATGCTGATGATAATCATAACTCCTTGGTGACAGCAGATGACACCATGCACATAAAAGGTCGAGACTGCCTGGACAGGGCACATATGCAGATAAACCAGTTTCCTTCCCTCTGCACCTCGTAAGACCCCATCAACCACTCCTGATGCTTGAGATTCAAGTCCAAGGATAGGGGTGGGGGGGCCTCCCAGGCTCTCCTTGTTCTGGTCTCTGGCCTTGGTGCCATCCACAGTCTGGTCATTGCTTAGCCTCATTAAGAGGATAGATGAACTGACTGCCAATATTACACTTGACTCATGCCAAGGGTTCCCCCTTCTCATCACTGTCTCTTTCTTTTACTTACCCATATACAAGGAATTAAGGAAGAAAACCAAGATGGGCAGGGAGAGCAACTTCCCAGAGGCCAAAGTGAACTACGAAACTGTGCCAGATTGTTCCCCAGCTCAGCCACTGTAAGGGATGGAGGTGCCATATCAAAGGCACTCAGGTTCCTAGAGCACGAATACTGAGACAGGCTGAAATATCCACTCAGATAGCAGTGTGCAAAGGGTCTAGCCTTTCAGAGTTTCAGGCCAATCACTGTCTTACCTGCCCCAGCCCCTCAGAATAATCAGTGTTTGGCAGGATTAAAAACAAATGTACATTCGATGTAAATCACAGGAGATAAAGTACCTTATCAGAAGCCCTCAGGAGCTGATGGATATTCTAAATCCCTGCTGTGCCACTCTCGGTGACCTTTCTGAAACTCCCTAAATATTCCTGAGTAAGACCTCTGTCAGAAACTAGTTTCTGAAAAAGTGAGGAACCTGCTTACAACAACTATGATTAGTAGAGGAAATTTTAAAAATCAAAATTACGTTCACAAAGCAAATGGATGAAACACCTGTACTCATATCCCAGATAGTCCTGGCTATATGCCAGGCTTCCATTTCATTTGTAAAATGTATTAATTTGATCATGTATTTAGCAAATATTTAGACAGCCAGGGACTGCGTTCGGCACCTGGGATACAAAGATCGATCCAGTCATTCCATGGATACTTGAGCGCCTGTTATTTGCCAGGCACTGTTCTAGGCCTATGGTGACAAACAAAACAAAGTCTCTACCCTCAGGAACAAATAAACAAATATTTAAATTGTGCGGAAAATGAATGGTGACAAACTGGTGGCGTTCAGTGCCACAAAGAGAAATAAAGCAGGTTAGAGAGTAAGGGCTTGATGGAGGGCGCTGTTTTGGACAGTGGTTACGGAAGGCCTCTCTGCAGAGGGAACATCTGAGCAGAAACCCAAATGAAGGGCAGGAGCAAGTCACGTGCATGTCTGGGGGACAAGCTTTCCTAGCACAGGGGCGATGGTTCAAAAGTCCTGAGCAGGGAGCAGCCTGTCATGTTCAAGGAGAAGCAGAGACGAGGGGTGCCGGAATGAGCAAGGTGGAAAGTGGTGGAGACGAAGTTGCAGAGGACGGCAGGCGCCAAATAACCAAGAGCTTTGGGCTTCTTCTCAGTGTGCAGGGAAGCCGCTGGGGGCTTTGTAGGAGAGGAGTGACTTATGATCGTTTACATTATTAAAGCCTCACTGGCTGCTCTGCAGCAGGTCAACTGTGGGCTGGCAAGGGTGGAAATCAGAGCCAGTCAGGTGCTGTTCCACAGTACAGGTGAGAGATGATGGTGGCTGGAGCAGAGTAGAGAAATGGTGGAGGTGGTCAGAGGTGGATGGATTTGGGAGATGTTTAAAGAATGGTAAGATTCAGGCTGGGTGCGGTGGCTCACGCCTGTAATCCTAACACTGTGGGAGGCTGAGGCAGGAGGACTGCTTGAGGTCAGGAGTTTGAGACCAGCCTGACCAAGAGCGAGACCCCATCCCTATAAAAAACAGAAAAATTAGCCGGGCATGGTGGCGCATACCTGTAGTCCCAGCTACTCGGGAGGCTGAGGCAGGAGGATCACTTGAGCCCAGGAGTTTGAGGTTGCAGTGAGCTGTGATGACGCCACTGCACTCTAATCAGGGCAACAGAGTGAGACCCTGTCTCAACAACAACAACAAAAAAAGGTAAGATTCAGTCCCTGCTCTCAAGGAATTTGCAACAACAAAAAAAAAAAAAAGAAAGAAAACCAACTATACTGTAGTGGGAAACATACAATAAGAGAATGACAAGCTGGGTTATGTGGGAGCATCAAACAGAACCTTCAGGGGAGTTAGAGAAAGCCTCAGAGGAGGTGACGCTTGAGTTGCCTTTTGAATAGGTGAAATGCCACCAGATGGATAAGAAGGGCAAGAGGAAGGTCATTCCGGGCAGAGGGCATAGCTTAAGTAAAGGCTGGCGAGTGTGAACCTGCGTGGGGTTTTAAGGAATCATTTGGCAGGTGAGGGGGGAGGGAGAATACGGGCTAGGAGATGGGCCTAGAAAGGTGGTTTTGAACTAGACCATGAAGGACCTTGAGTGTGACATCCGGCAGTTTATACTTTATTCTATAGGCAATGGAGAATCCTTGAAGGTTTTATGAGTGTGCGCAGGATGCAAGCAGAGCTGTGTTTTTGAATGTGATGCTGATGCATTGTCAGGTGGGCTAGAAGGCCATTGAAGAAGGCAAGACCAGTGAGGTTCATTCATTTAAAAATTACTGAGTGCCCGCCCAGTGCTAGGCGTCAGGAACAGAGAGTAAATAAGTGAAGATCATGGCTTTCTTCATGGATTTTAAGTCTGGAGGGAGGTAATGAAGAGTAAATGTAGAGACTAGATCAGATTCAGGAAATATGTCCAAAATGCCATCACTAAGACATGGAAAATCTTAGATGTGGAAAATGAGAATGTCTGGCCTTACTGTTTAGGAGATAGAATGGAATGTAGTTGCTCCAAAGTATCCTGCCATGTAGAAATAATTTGAAAAGAATCCTTTTGGGCTGGGCGCGGTGGCTCACGCCTGTAATCCTAGCACTCTGGGAGGCCGAGGCAAGAGGATCGTTTGAACTCAGGAGTTCGAGACCAGCCTGAGCAAGAGCGAGACCCCGTCTCTACTAAAAATAGAAAGAAATTAACTGGA